GGTCAGAAATCTGACTGTCTCACCACATGAATGTTTATTTTTAAAACCATTGTTTTTATTTATATTTTTTTTAAGCTGCATATTCAACTAGGTTTCTATTTTATATGCCAAAAATATGCATAGCTAGTTGTTGAAAGTGATCTCTAGATTCACAGAAGAAATGCCTTACAAGTATACATCAAAATATTCCGTATAATAACAACAATAATGTAATGTCTTCCCAATAAAAATGACAGAAAAAATAAAAATTACCTCCACACATTCTATTTTAAACTTCTTTTGTAGTATGAATTATTAGAAAAACGCATGTACAACATATTTGTTTCATAAATAACGTTCGAAAGGCACATAAGCGAAACTTTGTTTGGACTGTTTTTAGCATAAGAAAATGCTGACAATGAAACAGTAAAAAAAAGAAACTGGGTTTTCTTCCAGTTAATGACTCTACATAAGTTTTAAGGATTGAAACTTCAAGAAATGTTTGAAGAAGTGTTTTGGAACATGATGTAAACTTGGAATGTTTTCATTCCCGTTCCATTTATCTGTAGATTTAGACAAATATTATTCAAGATAATGTAAATAAAGATAACTTTTATTAATATTTTATTTTTGACAAAAATGTTTATTCATTAATTTTACACATTCTTAAGAAATCTCTTATAATAATATTAAACTTTACACTCACATTGCAGATACCAGGCAGATGGATACTTTTTAGAATGTAAAGCTCTTATCTTTACGAGGTGATTCATCACTGAAATACAATAAGTCCAGAAACATATTCTGTGAATCGTAATCTAAGTGCCATCATCATTATCAGAAAACTATTGATCAAAACTCTCATCATTCAAGATCTTTAAAGCAATTTGTGTAACATTATACATATGTCTCCAAGAATAAAAGATAATCCAGAAATGTCCACAGAATAAAAATTTATTGTAGATCAATATTATAAATCTGTATTTTAAAAACATTGTGGAGACCCATATGATTTGAATACTCAAATCATCTTATTACGTTTGGCGCTCACTATGTACGGCAACTTTCTACGCAATGTCCCTACTATTCAATCTGGTGATTGAGCACCACATACCCTATTACGCAAAAACGTTTATATTTCAATATCAGACCAGAATGCGGCTCTGCCTACCTGTAGGTTTCTATATTTTTCTATTCTTCATTCTGATGTTTGTACATCGTCAGGGGATCAAGGCTCACGAATTCAGGACGACATTAAAAAGAGTAAAAACTGGCTATTACTCAAGATAATCTATCAGGCCAGAACTGACACATCGATATTAAACGTTTCAGAGAAAAACTCAATGTTCCCCCGCTGCTTGAGGAAGAATGAGCCGGTAATTGCCAGCTCTTAGTTATCTCCCCAGTGGGACACAGCATTAAGTCGGGTCATTGTATTGTACTGAAGTATGTATGAGAGGAGAAAGATGAGAGAGAGAAGAGAGAGAAAGAGAGAGAGACAAAAGAGAGAAGAGAAGGAGAGAGAAAACGAGAGAGAAGAGAAAGAGAGAGAGAAAGAGAGAGAGAGAAACGACGAGAGACAAAGAGAGAGAGAAGATGAGAGAGAGAAAAACCGCGCCACTCGCCGCCCCCGACAGGAAGAGAGAGAGAAAGAAAAAAGAAGACAAGGAAGAGAGGAAGATCGGGGCCCGGTTTTTACGTCCCAATATCAGCATTCCCTGGGCTTTTGACTTGGAAAGATTTACAAAAAACACCTACGCCTCAACAGCAGCCCGGCCGCTACGGCGCAATTCTCCTCTAGTTATCAGCTGAATTCTAGTTAGCTAGTAGTTTGTGTCGAAAACTCTGCCACTGCCGGACGTCATCCTAGGACCTTCCGATCAGAGTTGGTTAACAGGCACAGCGGGGAACGTTTATTCTGAGCAAATAATGGCACATATTCGTAATAGTTAAGCGAACTGAAACTACTTTTTTTTTAAAAACTCAATTATGTTACAGTAAGCCAGTCGGAATTGGCGTAGCTCTTGTTGTTGTTGTCAATTACCTTTCTCAGCTTAGTTAGCGGCTTCGAACATTCGGCCCGGTTCAAGTGGAACTGTCTGGTGAATGCGTCTTCATGGTGCGGTCAGTTTTCTAGGGGTTTTGCTTTGCCCCTGCCTTCTTAATTCCTCATTTCCTCCATCACCATGGCAGAACTTCATGATCATCTACAAATCAAATAATTCGTGCAGTCCAGGTACAAAATACGGCTCAGCACTGGTATCTAATAAGAATACCTCTACATGTCGATGGCGACAATATATGGTGATAGACTCTCTCACGTTCCACATCAGGAAATGTGTTCAAAACGCGGACGCTGCATGTAAACGTGGCGTACAAAGAGGAGCATTGGTAGGTTTCTGGGATTCATTCCCGTCGCCTACCTCTAATTCCAATATCTTCATAGCCCATACATATCTCTCATTACTTCAGTATAAACGTTAATGGGAAGATCCCAACAACACTGTCGTGGAGATTGCTGAGTTCGAACAACGCCATAGTGCCAACTCAAAAACATCTTACACGAAAAGTAAATAAATAAACGTGGTAATTCAAAAACAAACTATTATTTAAAATATGTATTACCTTCCCTTACATGTGGCCATTTATTGCATGCACTTGAAATGAACATGACAGGGTTTACAAATTAATTGAGTAGCTTTCTTGAAGCCCGCTACCTGGGTCGTCGCCAACTCCGCCTACCTTTGCCCCCGCCTTCATTTGCCTTCTGACGCTTCAAAGAGTCAAGTCTCTCGTATTGCATTAAGCTGACTCTGTTCATGAGGCGTAACACACTTTCACATAACTTTTGAAAAAACTTACATCATTGTTCACTAAGGTTTCGGAGACTCGGGTTTCTGATTCCCTGATTCATATCCCGAGCTTGGATTTTTCGCGACCATGCTTTTTGATATAAACATGAAAACTGGTAAAACTGTGATGTGCATACAGAAGATCCAATACACAGATGCTCATATGCAAGTACATTGGATAAATGTAAAACGTTGATATAAAGACGGATTTTTGCTTTTCAGTAAGTCTCTGTGTACCTTTACTACCATGGCACCGATGTCATACCACTATACTCTTACTGTGGTGCCAAAACATGTGTCGTATATGAAAGAAAATGCTTCACTTGTTAGTACAGCTGAGTGAGTGAGCCTTGATTAAGACGCGCATTGTTATATAATTCCGTAGTAAATGCCAGTAATTTAACATTCCAAGAAGGTGACGGTGCCCCCCAAGCGGAACATAAAGATCAGACGCTGACCTGCATGACTCGGTGCTTTCCCCTCCGGAGCCACCGCCCCAGCTAAGACAACTGACTCCCAACTAAATTCCAGACATGTGGTAGTGTAGGACTTGTTAGTGTCTGTGTAACGAAGAGAAATATAACCGTGATGCGGAATGAGTGGAGAGACGTGCCTGCTACAGTGACCTGTTGCTGTGCCTCCTTCACTTGATATGGTCGGAAAACCACGGATAACTACCCACAGAACGCCAGTCATGAGAATTCTCACCACTGAATTCAATTGATTATCGTGTTGCGTGCGTTCACTTCTATGTCATTAGTCCCTTTAAGTGTTGTGCCATGTTTTATCCTGGCGGTGCTCTCCCCCTGCTGGCAGAGTGAAATCCGGCGCTGACCTGCCTCGTCGGCTGGCGGACAGTTTCCCCATCCAGGTTTACCGTCCCACCAACGTAGCACCTTTTTCCTCCCAGCCGGGGCAAGTCGACGTACACGAACTGGTCTCGGAACATGTGTTATGGTAGTAGCTCATGTAATTCTAGGTGTATTAATAAGTACGCGCCCACAGTAAGGAGAAGAAGAAAGATTGGTGGTTCCTGGCCCCTGTTGTTAGGACTAATTTTTTTATAGACAACTACAACCATCTCATTAAGGAGCAAAGGCCCTCCGCTCCCGCAGGGAATTATCCAATCATGAATGAAGTGATCAGAATGTTTGCAGAAGGTTTGAATGGGACCAAGCACCAAATACATCATCCGAGGCCGGCGAACCCGCGATCCTCGATCCGAACAATCGCCACGACACTATCTGCCTTAGCGATCTCGCTATCCGGACTCGCCTTGAACTATTACTTCGTTTTACACATAGTGCACTTCATGCGGTCACGAGCTGGAAGGAGATGGAAACATTTCCATCAATCGAAAGTTATACAAGCCAAAAATTGTAAGACGTAACCGAAGCTCCCGATTGAATGACAGCAATCTCCTCCGTCAGCTCGTGACTTTCAAGTGCCACTGTGTTAAAATCGGAAAAAATACCCCCGCATCCGAGTGTATGCATCGAAGAACCTTACTGATTAAGAAACTACCGCATCAGACAGCCGACCGTGCTCGATTTCTCTACAAATCCTACTGAATTCGACTTTGCTCTCTAGCTGTCGAAATTCCTGACATTGTCGGCACTTCTAATCCTAGACTCCCTCAGAGCCTTCCATTGTACTGGCATCAATGAATTGCCTCAGCCACCTCCGGCGGTATAGTTGCATGGCCCCATCTAATGTAGAGCTAGTATGCGCAAATGCGTCCAGATTCAGAACATTACCTAGAATACCTGTTCCTGGGAAATAGTATGTAACTGTTTACCTAAGTAACGCGTGACGTAAATGCATCTGTGCAACCCAGGAAAGCACCAGTCTAGCTGCGCAGCCCTGTCTAACAGCGTTGAAAGCTTATTATGGATGAAATATCCTGACTCGTGCCGGCGGAGGCGCTGACTTACGGCAACAGGGCCTGATAGAGGAGCTGGTGTCTTATTATCAAGCCTTTTGCTCCACTCGCACGATGAGGCGTATGCAGAAGCTGATACAAATAAGTATGGCGGGAACTCAGAATGGAAAGTCATATTCTGATATAGTACAACAGTCGATTGTACGACATCGGAGCAACAGCGCCGCTCATTACTTGATTGACAAATTCCGTCACTCCAGTGTAACAAAGCAAACCTATTAGCACTGATGAACGAGTACATTAAGCTGCTTACTCATGTCAGGCCCAGGGTGATGATGAGATATGAGAAATCTATGATGAGTTTGTTGGAGACAGAAAGGTATGTGTCTCAATACATTCACTCAGGTGCCGTACGCGCTGTAGGCAGTTGCTCTGATAGACCTCTCCTGCTCAAGACACACTCGTTGCGTCATAGAAGAATCGTGCACCCACTAGCACCAACGCTCTATGGAGCGCCAGACCCGCTGCAGCAACCATTCCTGCCTTGCACGCGCCCCGCCCGCACTCTTGAAGCCCAGCCCCGCTGCAGGCCCCGACCTGCCTGCAGCGTGACATCCGCTCCCTGGCAATCGCGGCACCCTTTGTACCACCCACATGCACGGCTGCTCGGCGGCCGAACAACTGGAATCGCGTGTTGTGCACGTGGTTGACTTAGGCAGAGACCACATCAAAACGACGCGTGGAGCACAGTATCCCGAGGGTTACTCACAGCTAACTGTAGTCATAATTTCTGTTGTTCAATACGCGAAAACGAAATGCTACACATAGCTGTGCGAGAGGAATACGGAGCTCGTAATAGTCACTCACACAACGAATCAGTGCGCCTATGCTGCATAAAACATACGATGACGAAATAAGCTACCGGAATTTCAAAAATATTGACTAGGACGCCACCGCAAGAAGACCAAGGACCCGTGGTTAGCAGCAAGCATACAGATGCCCGCCCGAGAGCTGGATAATTAAACCTTTTGGATTAATAACTACTTCATGGACTATTTCTTCTCCAACCATAACCCCCCCCCTACCTTCGTGGTGTTCCCCGAAGAGAGTCACCTCTGCATCCGCGGATATCATCAATCCAGGCGTGCCTATCTAATTAACACATCTGCACTTTATGTGAAGTACGCTGTCAGTCAGAGATATCACAGTGGAGAACACGTGAGTTACAGCGAATAGAGAACACTTCCGCAGTGTGAGTACTGATGACGTCAACGGCGAGAACATGCGTAGTATCGCATAATTCACGCTTTCTCTTGTTAATACGGAGCGATGCTAGTCGAGCAGTGCTGGGCACTGGACCAACCATAATTTGCTTCGCTATTGCAGCTCACGCGAGCTACAGTGCCGCTACTAGGTAGAGAGTACTCGTTGCACGCCGCCCATTGCGCCCAAATGTGGCGCGGGCCGGCGCCTCGTAACGTGCGCGCCCGCCCGCCGCGCCGACAGAAGCCCCAGCGCCCAGGGCACGCGCGCACCACTGTGTTCAAGCGCGGAACTGGGGAACGTACCCTTAAATATTGGCCGTGACTCGAAAAAAATATTAAAGCACAGCGAGAAATTATTAATACATATTATTAATATATCAATATATAAAATAATAATAGTATGTTTAGTAGGCTCCGCGGCGGAGTCAGTATTTACTAGGCTGTCCGGGTGACGGCCGCGTCCAGGTCGCCATTTCTCACCTTCCTCAGGGGTTCGTAATGCCCTAGAAGGTCGCCCGAGAATTGGCGACCGAAAACTCGGACCTTCGCCATGGACGCGGCGTCACCCGGACAGCCTAGTAAATATTAGTATGTTTATTTTTGTTGCTGAAACTTAATAGTTATTTTCATTATTATCGTTATGTTAAAGTGTGTAATATTATGTACTTTAGAAATTCGTTACATAACTAATGACAAGTTCTGTACTTTGAAGAATTATTAATCAGTAAAAGAACTAACATTTTTTCGTGCACACATATTTTTAAGGATTAATAACAATAAAAAAGGATAATAAACAATATTCACAGAAACAATTTGCTACCTATTGAATATTTGCCACAACAATAACGTATTGTTTCAATTGTTGCGATTACACTTTTTAGATGCCCCCTATGATTACTTTTTCTCTCTCTAGTATATTACAGTATTATACGGAGGATATGTATTGGAATTGTCTCAACAATACGATCTCGAATTTTCGATTTTAAGGTTCTTTCGAGCTGTAACTTCGCATACAGGTGAGGATTAACGTTTTTTAATGCTGTTCCAAGGACGGTTAAGATTAATGCAGGTGGCTACGAGGTACGTGTAATTTTGTACTCCAAAATCGGGATGTCGGTGGAAGTAGGAGTATATATGAATATAAGGGTGTATTACACATAATTCTGTGAGATTAGAAGCTTTTGAACTGAAATTTGGTGAATGCATCAAAAGTAAGATTCGGTAAACTTTAAGATATCTTAATTTTAGAAGGTAATTTTAATGAAGTCTCTGTGATATTTTTCGAATTTTCTGGAAAATCACTTCATTTTTTCTTTAAATTGTTTGATAGAATAAAATATAATGCGTTTATAAAAAAAAACTTTTTTCGGTTTTCATTAAAAGCACTGTAATTTTGAAAATTGTAAAGTTCAAATTATTTTCGAACCTGTCCTACAACTTGAAAATTGAAGTCAGAGGTTCCTTTCTCAATACACTTTATCCCTCGCTTTTAGATTCTTAAGAAATACATTCATTTAGAAATGACTAATAAATAGTGACAGTAAGAGGAGGAAAAGCTTCAGTATGTCCTGCGTTCCCACGAGTTTCCACTAGTTAATGTACTAGGAGATTCTTGGTTACCGTGAAGACGAGAAAGGCGTCAGTCAATACAATTACTCAAAGGCGGCAACTCTGTAGACTTTTTGCACTGCCAGAAACCAGAGAGCCTAGAGGACGAAGAGGTAGGAGTAACCACCCGACAATTTTACGTTTTATAATCTGGTTCAGTTTTCTTTCTAAGATATTACATTAATGGAAGTTCTTCTGAATGCCCGAATTGTTATTACTATTGCTAAATTTCCAGACTTGCCGAATCTGTTGATTCGCAGTTCATATTTCATTTAGCATTTGTTGTTAAGACGACGAGTGTATTCTCAGCCAGCAGACGATTATTTTGAGATTCTAAAACAGTTGAGTATAGCGGAATACAGCATCGCTTCGAGGGTTTTCTTTTTCTGCTAGTCAGGTTGGCCGGAGAGCTATCTAATGAAGTCTTACGAGAGTTATCTACGAAGTTTCACGAGAGAATTAATTTGTTCCATTGACGTCTTTCATACAAGTATTGTAAATTCTACATATCATTAAAAATATAACTATCGGCTAAAGGTAACCTGTTGATTGATTTTACTATTGTAGCTGGTTCCCATAATTAAAGAAAATCAAAACATTTTTTAAACTGTGAGCTTTTTAATGTGAATAATTATTAGATAAAAATAGAAAAAACGTTTAAAGGGAGACACAGAAAGTCCGAGAGAGAGGGATAGGGAAGGTGAGAGAGAAAGGGAAAGGGAAGGAGAAAGAGAGAGATGGAGGGCAGAACAATGACTGCTGGGTTCCGCTAGTTCTACATAAAATAGGCAATCAGCAAGGCACTTATTCTACCTAAAGTAGAGGTGCAAAAAGGCACTACAGTGAAACGTAACAATTTAAAAGGAATTAATAATTCAATTGATTCACATTTTATTCTAAGTCAAAAATTTACATTTGCAGTTACGTGTAAGAACAAGATCATTTCTTAATAATCATGATTTCACCTGACCATTCGGTATGATGACTATGACTTTTTTTTGACTCGCGACTATGTCTCTACAAAATAATATTGTGGAATTCCGTTTGAATCTTGAAATGATATCAGTAAAAACGGAATTATAGTTTTCGAGAAGGGTACATCATATACAAGAAATTTTCATTTAGAGCTCTGTCCTCGAAAGGGGACGGAGGCCATACTCAAATGTAGGAAGGTTATTTCCGTGCGTGAGCATAGCCAACAGCATCAGTGTAAAAAATTAAAATAATATATTGACTGGTCATCTTCCTTTCTCATTTACATTTTTATCACTACCAGACCCTGGAACCTCCGCTTCCACAGAAAGACAAAACAGGAATGTGCCTTCCTGTTGTCCTGGCTAGCAAGTACGTTTCCAGGTCGATTGAAACCAGTCCCAGAAGAAAACAATGAAAATAATGGGTAAGAAGAGGAACAGAAGTGAAAATATGCAAAATACAAGCATGAATAGCTTATAGAGCTACTGAGTAGGTCAAAGGAGGCAAAATGAAAATCTGTTAAATACACCTGAGAGGTGGGTCAGAGCATATAATGGTGTCACTACAGTACCGTTTGACCACTGGAGGTTCAGGTTGATCCCGACGATGGCTAGGATTTTTCGGCACAAACTAGACAGCTAGATTGAGTTATTGCTGATTGGATGGGAGAATTTAACGGCTGGCTGCTCTGATTAGAGTTTTCAAGTTTATCCGATCAACAGCTCGTCTGAATGTTTGGCCTGTACTCTAAGACACCCCCATACATGAAGATACGAATAACATGAAGGAGACCGGTCGTGGAGGATTAAGAACTTGTCCGGCTGTGGTGTGCCCCGCTGGTGGGATATCTCACTCGCGCTCTGCACGAGAAACCTTTCGTCCAGACGACGGTAGGCGAGCGCCGGATGTCACAACAGCGAGGAAATGACGCCACCTCTCGATGAAAACACATACACTACACTTACGGGGCTAATGATCTCAGACGTTGACCCGTCCGGAATCATCAATCAATCAAAATCTATTCCAATAACTCGAGATGTACATTTAAGTGATTCGTATTGCTAAAAGTCGCAACATCTTAAAAATAAAATTTAAAATTTTAAAAAACGTATTTCATCAAATTTCCGGGCTCTAGTAATAAGTTAAATACGAATTGGCATATTGAGTACTCATTCTCTCCTATTGGCCCCTTTCCTTCCGCTGCAGAGCACAGTGCGGCGATGGCCTCGACGCACGCACGTGCGCTCACGCGCAGCGCGGCGCCGCCCTCACGTGTGGGCACGCGTCCCACGCTGCGGCGCCCGCACGCGTAACAACACTCGGCGCAGGGGCGGCTCCGACCACGAGAGTGGGGGGGGAGGGGAGTGCGAGGGCGCTGGGAGCCTTGAGCGGCGTGCCGGTCGATCGGGCCAACGATTAGCCATCATTTGTATAAGGGAGCCGTGGGGCGCTGCGATCGTCCAAAGGCTTCTGGGTCAAGCCAACACTCGGTGGACAAGGTAACTTTATTGTGATACCAATGACCGCGTGG